TGTCTACTTCTTCTTTAGACTCACCACTGGCTGTTTTGCATTCACTGGGGTTCTCTAGTAACCATGGGGAAATGGCATGGAAGTATATAGGCTGATGCATTGGTTATGTGGAGAGAGAAGGACAGCAGTACGCTTATAGCATATTTGTCCAAGAAGAAAGAAAGAAAGAAAAGCCAAGAGAATGGTTAAACCTGTCAAATAGTCATTCTCCCTTTTGTGGACCTCGAATTGATTGACTCTTAACCATAGATGAGTAGTTTTGCAAAAACAGCAGCAGACAAGAAAACAGCATGCTGTCTGGAAAAAAGAACAAACTAAACCTCAAGTCTTGAGTTCTTTTCCCTTTGCTCCTGTCATCTGTGCGAGGGTTTTTTTTTTTTTTGGTTTTTTTTTAAGAGCTGAGTGCATAGGGATAAAATTATTTTTGTCAGTTGCTAAATAATTAGGATACACTTGGGTTCTGGCAATTTGGAGCACTCAAGTCAAATATCCTTTCAATTTTCAGCAAGTAATTTGGAAACAGGGGTTCACACCTAACAGAGCAGAACCTTTTACCGTACATCCGACCAAACATCTGCACTCTTTTTATCACTCAATAAGAGTCTGTAGATCACCAAGTGACCCTGGAGTTAAAGAATACTGCCTCAGGGATTTTTGTCAATATCAACCTTAATGAGAGCTTGAAAATTTTCAATTTACTAAAACTGCAATAATAAATAGCTTCTGTCCATCCTGGAGGGAAATAACTAGGAGGCGCCACAAAGTTATCAATGGGATGTTGTGTTGTTTCCAGGCTGTATGGCTGTGTTCTAGCAGCCTTTTGTCCTGATGTTCCATCTGCATCTGTGGCTGGCTTTCTCAGAGGATGTCATGGTAGTCAAGCATATGGAGTATATATACCTGTGGGATGTACAGGATGGGAGGAAAAACCACCTAAACTGGGCTCTACAGGCCAATGGATACTCCACCACAGACATCAGAAGAGCGGCAAGACCAAGAACAAGCCACGAGAGTCAAGACAAAGATCCCCCCAGAGGAAAAGTGTTCTTATCATACATCAAGGGAACCACTGACTACATAGAGAAGCTGATGAAGAAACACAACATATAAATGATCTACAGACCCATTAAGAAAATCACATAAATGCTACATTCAGCAAAGGACAAGAAGGATCCTCTCACCGCTGTAAGAGTCTACCGGATACCATGCAGCTGTGAACAAGTCTACACAGGGACAACCAAATGCAGCCATTGCCCAGACACAAATCAAGGAACACAAAAGGCATTGCAGACTAATTCAAGCAGAAAACACATAAGTGCTGGACCACTCTCACAACCACCATGTCAGACTACACAGAGAAGCCATTGAAATCCACAAGCATGTGAACAATTTCAACAGAAAGGAGGAAACCATGAAAATGAACAAAATATGGCGACCTGTATTTTAAAAAACTCTAAAATCAGGACAGTAAATAAAAGAAGGGGAATTCCAGATAAGAATCAATCAGGGCCAGCTAACACCTCCCAAAGGATCCCCGAGTCAGCAACCAGCCAGGCCTTGAAACTGCAGGCCATTAAATGCTAATCAAGGTGGCAAATTGCAGCATTCACATGTACCTTAACTGACAAGAGTTGTTTCCCTCACCCTGGACATTCCACAGATATATAAATTTCACTTACTTAGTTTCCAACAGACTCCTCAACCTCTGAGGATGCCTGCCATAGATGTGGGCAAAACATCAGGAGATAATGCTTCTGGAACATGACCATACAGCCCAGAAAACCCATGGCAACCCATTGATTCCAGCCACGAAAGCCTTCGATAACATATTGAACCATTGTCTGTTAAACGAGTGTTAAGGGTGGAATTAGCAAGCTTGCAAGTAGCCTGGCTTTTCCCCCTTTGAACTGTTTGTTGCCTGGAGGCATGTTACACAAATTTGACAGACACTCACTCCAACCCGGCCTGGCTTTGAACTCATGACATTTGGGTCAGTAGTGATCTTAATGCAGCTGACACAGTCCTTGCCTTTAGTCCAGCCCACTGTTTTAACTCTCTTATCATTTCATATTTTGTGTTCATTCTATTGTATTAGTTTGTCATTGTTTGCACATTATTTGATGTTTTTATCTATTGTACGTATTTTATTTTGCCTTATTGTAATTCCTGGGCTTGGCCTCATGTTAGCCACCCTGAGTCTCCTTGGGGAGATGGTGGCGGGGTATAAATAAAGTTGTTATTGTTGTTGTTGTTGTTGTTGTTGTTATTATTATTATTTTACTGACACAGAAGCACAGTATGTCACAGCAAAAGAGATCTATATGCTGGATTTCGTATCACAAAATCACAAGTCGAACACTTCCCAAGCGTCTAGGACTGTGTGATGTATTTTCGAATGATGTGTGCAGATCCAAGTAAGGTGGCCTTTTGCAATTGACAGATTGTGATTTTGTCATTGTTTATTGTTTCCAAATGCCGGCTGAGATCTTTTGGCACGGCACCCAGTGTGCCAATGACCACTGGGACCACCTGTGCTGGTTTATGCCAGAGCCTTTGCAGTTCAATTTTGAGGTCTTGATAGCGGCTGAGTTTTCCTGTTGTTTTTCCTCAATGCGTTTGTCACCTGGAATGGCGACATCAATAATCCAGATTTTTTTCTTTTCCACAATTGTGATGTCTGGTGTATTGTGTTCCAAAACTTTGTCTGTCTGGATTCAAAAGTCCCAGAGTATTTTTGTGTGTTCATTTTCCATGACCTTTGCAGTTTGTGATCCCACCAATTCTTTACTGCTGGCAGGTGGTCCTTATTATTATTATTATTATTATTATTATTATTATTATTATTATATTCCTGCATGGCAGAATAGAGTTGGACTCTCTCCAATTCAGTGATTCTGTGAGTTTTAAAAGATTCTCCATCCCTGCTTTGGAGTATCTCACATCTCCTGCTACTTTAGCACAGCAGTGAATCATTTGCAGAAGTGGCAAGAAGAAAGTCTGCCTTCTCCCTCCTCTACTCGAACCTTATCCCCTCCATGAAGCCCGAAAAACACTACAGAAGCTGGCTAGACCCCAAAAGTCAAACGCATTCCTAGGAGAGAGCCCCGAGAGAGAATATTTTTATGCAGGTCTCAGCTGTAAAGCCCTAATGCCAGCTCCTTGCATCCTGAAGGAGGGATGATAGCTATTAACCACCCACAGAGAGCGGAAAAGAATATTCTCAGGTCATCACTTTTTTAAAAAAAAGGGAAACATTTTGTGCCTGCTTTTCCACCAAGTTTTGTGCTTTTATGACACAGGCAAATGTTTTCTTCTTCAAAAGTGAGATTTCTCTCCCTCTCAGGCTTTCATCTACACAGCTGAAAAGAATTCCCAGTAGGCACTTTCTGCGGTGCGGTTTCGACTTTTCTTATCTCTGCCCTCTGTTTCATTGGCCAGAATAATTCCTGAGCCACAGGGGCTTAGGAGCATTTCCTTGAAACATCTTTCGATAATGAATGCAGGTGAGAGCTTTGCCTCAACAAAGCTCCACTTTTTATCGAGAACAGGACCTTTTCTGCATTGTGCCAAGATGATATTGGCTTAGCGGGTGGTGGGGGGAGTTATAATGAGGTCTGCCGTGGTCTTTGGGTAAAAAACGGGGCTGAAAGTCAAATAATCGCGTCCTGTTTTGCCCACCGAAATGTGTTTGCTGTTTTCCTCACTGCGCAATAATTTCTTGATGTGTCAACGAAGGAGCAAAACCTCACATATGAACCAATGTGATGTTTGTTATCACCATGAAGGGTTAGAAGGCATGATCATCAAGTTTGCAGACGACACCAAACTGGGAGGGATAGCCAGTACTCCAGAGGACAGGAGCAGGATTCAAAACGATCTTGACAGATTAGAGAGATGGGCCAAAACTAACAAAATGAAGTTCAACAGTGACAAATACTCCACTTTGGCAAGAAAAATGAAATGCAAAGATACAGAATGGGGGACAATGCCTGGCTCAAGAGCAGTATGTGTGAAAAAGATGGACAACAAGTTAAACATGAGCCAACAATGTGATGTAGAGGCAAAAGAAGCCAATGGGATTTTGGCCTGTATCAATAGGAGCATAGTGTCTAGATCTAAGGAAGTCATGCTACCCCTCTATCCCGCCTTGGTTAGACCACACCTGGAATATTGTGTCCAATTCTGGGCACCACAATTCAAGAGAGATATTGACAAGCTGGAATGTGTCCAGAGGAGGGCGACTAAAATGATCAAGGGTCTGGAGAACAAGCCCTATGAGGAGCGGCTTAAAGGAGCTGGGCATGTTTAGCCTGAAGAAGAGATGGCTGAGAGGAGATATGATAGCCATGTATAAATATGTGAGAGGAAGCCACAGGGAGGAGGGAGCAAGCTTGTTGAGACTAGGACGCGGAACAATGGCTTCAAACTACAAGAGAGGAGATTCCATCTGAACACGAGGAAGAATTTCCTGACTGTGAGAGCTGTTCAGCAGTGGAACTCTCTGCCCAGAAGTGTGGTGGAGGCTCCTTCTTTGGAAGCTTTTAAACAGAGGCTAGATGGCCATCTGTCAGGGGTGCTTTGAATGCAATATTCCTGCTCTTTGGCAGGGGGTTAGACTAGATGGCCCATGAGGTCTCTTCCAAGTCTTTGAGTCTATGATTCTATGATTCTATGAAAGCAGGTGGGAAAAAGTCAGCGCTTGTGTGTACAGTAGGCATGGACTCCTTTGGGCCCTCCAGGTGCTTTGGACTTCAACTCCCACAATTCCCAAATGGCTGTTGAAGTCCAAAACACCTGTTGGGAGGGCTGTAGTGGTGATCTGCCATGCCAATCAGTAGAGAGTTGCCTGCTAGGCTTTGCCAGCTAGGCCTCAGCGTTGCCGTGGTAACAGGAGACGCCTGTAAGCCCCGCCCCGAATTGCCGCCGTGGGAAAGGCGGGCTCGGCGGCGGGAAGCAAGCAAAGGGCAGCAGGGAGGGAGGGAGGAGGGAGGCAGGGAGGGAGGGGAGAGGCCCCTTGCCCCACGGTGGGGAAAGAGCAGAGCCGCAGGGAGCCCACGGAAGGGCCACAGGGCGGAGAGGAGAGGCCCTTCCTCGAAGCCCAGCCAGGTAACCCACCTTCCCCCCTTCTCTGCTCCAAAGAATCCCTTCCTATGCTCAGAGGCACTCTTTGCCTGTCTGTTTCCCAGTTGCAACAGAGTACTGAAAGAAAGCCCCCTCTACACTGCTCTATAACCCAGGGAGGGCCCTTCCACACAGCCCTCTATCCCAGAATATCCAGGCAGAAAACCCCATAATATCTGCTTTGAACCAGATTAATCTACATTGCCATCAAATCCAGTTTCTGAATCCACATTATCTGCTTTGAACTGGATTATATGACACTATGCTGTCACATAATCCAGTTCAATGCAGATTTCTGGATTTTATATGGCAATGTAGAAGGGGCCCCAAGTCCACACTCAGATAATGTGGAATTTCCTACCTGGGATAGAGGGCTGTGTGGAAGGGACCCCAGATTATCAAAACATAATCTACAGTATCTACTTTGAACTGGATTATATGACTCTACACTGCCACATAAACCAGTTCAAAGCAGATAACATGGATTTTTTAAGGCTGGATCTGCACTGCCATATCTAATCCAGATTATCTGATTTGAACTGGATTATATGGCAGTGTAGACTCAGGTCCCATCTACGCTGCCCTATAATCCAGATTATCACATCGGATAATCCACACCATCTGATTTGGATAGGATTATATGACTCTAGACTGCCATATAATCTAGTTCAAAGCAGATTCTATGAATTATGTATTGCAGTGTAGAAGGGGCCTCATAGAATCCTATTCAAAGCAGATAATGTGAATTATCTGCTTTGATAATCTGGGTTATATGGCAGTGTAGAAGGGGCCTTTCTCTTCCCTCCCTTCTTGTTGACGCTTAATCTACACTGCCATCAAATCCAGTTTCTGAATCCACATTATCTGCTGAAGGAAAAGCCCCTCAAACTGCACCCAGAGACATTCACATTTTCTTCTTCTTCTTATTATTATTATTCTATTATTATTATTATTCTATTATTATTATTATACTATTATTATTATTCTATTATTATTATTATTATTATTATTATTATTATTATTATTATTATTATTATACTATTATTATTATACAAAGGAGCCCCCGGTGGTGCAGTGGGTTAAAGCACTGAGCTGCTGAACTTGCTGATCGAAAGGTCACAAGTTCGAATCCGGGGAGTGGCATGAGCTCCCACTGTTAGCCCCAGCTTCTGCCAACCTAGCAGTTCGAAAACATGCAAATGTCAGTAGATCAATAAGCACCACTCCAGCAGGAAGGTAACGGCGCTCCATGCAGTCATGACCTTGGAGGTGTCTATGGACAACGCTGGCTCTTCGTCTTAGAAATGGAGATGAGCACCACACCCCAGAGTCAGACATGACTGGACTTAATGTCAGGGGACTACCTTTACCTTTTTATACTGCCACATAAACCAGTTCAAAGCAGATAACATGGATTTTATAAGGCTGGATCTGCACTGCCATATCTAATCCGGATTATCTGATTTGAACTGGATTGTAGTGTAGTGTGGACTCAGGTCCCTTCTACACAGGATTGTAGTGCAGTGTAGACTCAGGTCCCTTCTACGCTGCCCTATAACCCAGATTATCAAATCGGATAATCCACACCATCTGATTTGGACAGGATTATCTGACTCTAGACTGCCATTTAATCCATTTAAATTGGATTACATGGCAGTCAAGAGTCATCTAATCCAATTTGAAGCAGATGACATGAATTATGTATGGCAGTGTAGAAGGGGCCTCATATAATTCTATTCAAAGCAGATAATGTGGATTATCTGATTTGATAATCTGGGTTATATGGCAGTGTAGAAGGCCTCACTCTTCTCCCCTCCCTTTTCATTAATGCTGGATCTACACTGCCATCAAATCCAGTTTCTGAATCCACATGATCTGCTTTGAACTGATTATATGACTCTAGACTGCCATATAATCCAGTTCAAAGCAGATGACATGAATTATATGACTCTACACTGCAGTTTTGCAGTTTAGAAGAGGTCTCATATAATCCTATTCAAAGCAGATAATGTGGATTATCTGATTTGATAATCTGGGTTACATGGCAGTGTAGAAGAGGCCTCACTCTTCTCCCTTCCGTTCTTGTTGACGCTTAATCTACACTGGCATCAGATCCAGTTTCTGAATCCATATTATCTGCTTTGAACTGGATTATATGACTCTAGACTGCCATATAATCCAGTTCAAAGCAGATCACATGAATTATGAATTGCAGTGTAGAAGGGGCCTCATATAATCCTATTCAAAGCAGATCATGTGGATTATCTGCTTTGATAATCTGGGTTATATGGCAGTGTATGGCCTCACTCTTCTCCCCTCCTTTCTTGTTGACACTTAATCTACACTGCCATCAAAATCACTCAGATTTGCCCACCTTCTTTCTCACTGACTTATAATGACCAGTGAAGAAGGGTCCCTTCCTATTCTCAGATGTACCCTTTTCCTATGTCCTTTCTCCCAAGGCCACAGCGACCCCTTAGTCTGTGTGCAGAGGCAGTCACATATTCCCACTTCCATTCTCACTGAACTGTCAGAAGCACCCGAAAGCCTTCTTACTATGCTTAGAGCAGTGGTTCCCAGCCTGTTTTTGACCAGAGACCACTTGAACAGGGACCACACTGACCAAGGACCACTCTCCAACATTAGTACCAAAAGATTTACAAATCAGTTTTGGGTCAACTTTGGATTTGGTTTGGTTATTTGGGGTGCTTATCAGAAAATCACATTGGATAGACAAAGTCGGCTCTAGTTCTGTATCAGAACATATTGCTATCAGCTCGCCCACAGAAAACCATATTGAATAATCTAGAGCCGATGTGGTAGTAGTAACCTTTCGTGGGTAGTAAACCTCTTTTCTCCTGATATTCCTCTTTTCTCCTGATATTGCAACGGCACTATAAGAGGGTTTTGCGAGACCAGTTGCTCTCTCTTTGACGTGTGGTTTCGAGGCAATAGTGTAGTAATGGTGAGGCCGTGGACCATATTTTTGTTCTTATGGACCACTGGTGGTCCACGGACCAAAGGTTGGGAACCACCAGCTTAGAGGCACTATTTTTATACCTCCCCTCCCCCAGTGCAATAGGGAACTGAAGCAAAGGTCCCTCAGACTGTGCCCAGAGACATTCACCTCTTCTTCTTCTTCTTCTTCTTCTTCTTCTTCTTCTTCTTCTTCTTATTATTATTATTATTATTATTATTATTATTATTATTATTTGAACACAACGAGATGAGTCCACAGCAAACAAGATGACTCTGCTGGCTGTTGTATTGGATCACACGTTGGACACTTCCCAAGTGTCTAGGACTGTGTGATGTATCAATGAACAATGCGTGCAGATCCCAGTAAGGTGGCCTTTTGCAGCTGGCAGATGGTAATTTTGTCAGATTGTGTTTAAGTGCAGGCCAAGGTTTTATTGTTATTGTTGTTGTTGTTGTTATTTTACTGACACAAAAACACAGTATGTCAAAGCAAATGAGATCTATATGCTGGATTTCATATCACAGAATCACAAGTCGAACACTTCCCAAGCGTCTAAGACTATGTGATGTATTTTCGAATGATGCGCACAGATCCAAGTAAGGTGGCCGTTTGCCAGGCATGTAGCTGGGGGGGGGGGCTTGGGGGGCTTCAGCCCCCCCCCCAATTTCTCATGGTGGTCTGCAAGAAGGCCTTACTGGTACATTATTTAAACTGTTATGTTTATTCATATCATGATCTGATCACCATGCTCAATATATCCCATATGCATGGGGGTATTGGGATAATGATACAAAAGGTTTGCTAGGGTAGTTCCTGAGCCCCCCCCCCTTTTGAATCAAACTCAGCCCCCCCCCCCCCCGAATCAAACTCAGCACCCCCCGAATCAAAATCTTGGCTACGGGCCTGCCTTTTGCAGTTGACAGTTTGTGATTTTGTCAATGTTTATTGTTTCCAAATGCCGGCTGAGGTCTTTTGGCATGGCACCCAGTGTGCCAATTACCACTGGGAGCACCTGTACTGGTTTATGCCAGAGCCTTTGCAGTTCTATTTTGAGGTCTTGATAACGGCTGAGTTTTTCCTGATGTTTTTCCTCAATTCGGCTGTCACCTTATTATTATTATTATTATTAATTATTATTATTATTATTATTATTATTATTATATTTATTTCTTGGTGCGACCAGTGGCATAATGAGTTAAACCTTTGTGCCAGCAGGACAGCTGACCAACAGGTCAGTGGTTTAAATTGGAGAGAGCAGGTTGAGCTCCCTCTGTCAGCTCCAGCTTCCCATGCAGGAACATGAGAGAAGCCTCCTACAAGGGTGGTAAAACATCAAACATCCAGGCGTCCCCTGGGCAATGTCCTTGCAGCCAGCCAATTTTCTCACAACAGAAACGACCTGCAGTTTCTCACGTCACTCCTCACACAGGAAAAAATAACTTTTTTTTAAAAGAGACTCAAAGCAATTCACAGACTATTTGAAGGAAATCCTTCTTCCTATGCTCCCTGTGCTTCCTACTTCTTTTTCCATATGCTACAGGGAAAAGTATAAAACAAGTCTTGAGAATGCTTCTCTGAATATATTTTCATAATTGTAAAGTAGTAAAGGTAAAGGTTTTCCCCTGACATGAAGTCCAGTCGTGTCCGACTCTGCGGGTTGGTGCTTGTCTCCGTTTCTAAGCTGAAGAGCCAGCGTTGTCCATAGATACCTCCAAGGTCATGTGGCCAGCATAACTGCATGGAGCACTGTTACCTTCTTGCTGGAGCGGTACCTATTGATCTACTCACATTTGTATGTTTTCAAATGGCTAGGTTGGTTAATCTATGTCTAAATTAAAACAAAACGGAAAACCACTGCCTCTCTCTATTTAACAGGTCGGATAAATGCCAATACTAACATGGAGAAGAAGACAGAGGCATTGCAGGAAGAAAGGGTAGTTAGGTAGGTTGATAGTCGAGTAAGAGATTGTTTTGCTGATGGTGTTTTAAAGAAATGTTTTACTGGTTTCCTGTTTTGGTACGTAGGATGAAACTGGCTTGTGGAACTCCTTTGGCAAGTGGGTTGGTAGCAAACTTTAAAAAGCCATGGTCAATAAACTTTTGGTTGTTCTTTGATAGTACGTTAGATCATATACTAAATGTTATTAAGAAATGATAACCCTGTGTCATGGGATATCCATAAAAAGCTGCCATTAATAATATTTTCAGGATGCATTTGGGCTTTTGCATGTTAGAAATCAAATGTTTTAAAATGTATTTGTCTGTGCAAAAAGATGGGCACATTGAAATGTGCAGGATTGTGCTCTGCTCCTAGGTATGGTCAACCAAAACAAATAAGAAAAGGGAAAATATGGCAAAGAGAATCACAGAGTTGCTGTGAGATTTCCAGGCTGTATGACCATGTTCTAGAAGCAATCTCTCCTGATGTGTCACCCACATCTAAGGCAGGCATCATCAGAAGTTGTGAGGTCTGTTGGAAACTAGGCAAGTGAGGTTTATATATCTGTGGAATGTCCAGGGTGGGAGAAAGAACTCTTGTCTGTTGGTGGTAAGTGTGAATGTTGCAATTGGCCACCTTGATCAGCACTCAGTAGCCTTGCAGATTCAAAGCCTGGCTGATTTCTGCCTAGGGGGATCCTTTGTTGGGAGGTGTCAGCTTGCCCTGAGTGATTTCTGTTTGGAATCCCCCTGTTTCCTGAGTGGTGCTCTTTATTTACTGTCCTGATTTTAGAGTTTTTTAAATACTGGTAGTCAGATTTTGTTCATTTTCATGGTTTTGTCCTTTCTGTTGAAATTGTCCACATTCGTGAGGATTTCAATGGCTTTTCTATGTAGTCTGACTTGGTGTTTGTCCAAGTGATCTGGCTTTTCTGTGTTCTCAAATAATATGCTGTGTCCAGGTTGGTTCATCAGGTGCTCTGCTATGGCTGACTTCTCAGGTTGAATTAGTCTGCAGAGCCTTTCATGATCCTTGATTCGTATTTGGGCACAAACATGAATCAAGGAGTCACAGAGTTGGAACAGATCCCAAGGGCCATCCAGTCAAACCCATTCTTCCATGCAGGAATACACAAAGAAAGCACTCCTTACAGATGGCCATCAACCTTCTTGCTTTAAAACACTACACTCCAAGAGAGCATTTTCCACTGATCAACAGCTTTTATTGTCAAGAATTTCTTCCTAATGTTTAGGTCAGTGGTTCTCAACCTGTGGGTCCCCAGATGATTTGGCCTTCAACTCCCAGAAATCCTAACAGCTGGTAAACTGGGATTTCTGGGGGTTGTAGGCCAAAACACCTGGGGACCCACAGGTTGAGAACCACTGGTTTAGGTGGAATCTCTTTTCCTTTAGTTTGAATCCATTGCTCCATGATGATTAAACTATGCTGAATTAATGCGGTGAATCGGATAAGCTGAAATGCTACCAAATACTGTACATAGTGCTCAGCATGAAATATGTGATACTTGTGGGCTGCAAATATTGTATAAGATGATGTTCCTTACCTTTAAAATGTACTTTGAATACAATTTCCATCTACTGTAAGTACTATGTGCATCATAAGTATAAGAAATGTCCCATCTTAGAAATTCTGTGCATAGATATCTATGAAAGATAATGTGCCCAGAGTGGAAATAACAATAATATAATACTAAATTTTATTTCTTGCCCACCTCTCCTCACAGCTTACAGTTGATGTATGTGATGAACTTCCCCAAGGAATGTAACTGAATAAGCTACTTTTACATAACAAATGTATAAAAAATTTATAAAGCTATGCATAGTATAAATTTCCTGAGAGCTTAACATATTTTTATGCAGAGTGCTGGTGTTGAAATGCTTGCTAGATATTACTGTTTTTGCCACCTAGGAAACCAAAATGATGAACTTGAAAGAACTCAAATTAAATGAGAAGCACAAGGCAAAGAACCTGCAGTTGTCTACAAAAAGATGGAGGAGGGGGAACCATATTTGTTTCATTTCTTCTGCCAATGGTTTTGGATTGCAAATGGCACTAACGCAAACACCATGACCAGTGGCCTGCGATGTTGGGAGTTGTGGTCCCACAGTAGCTGGAGGGACATAGTTTACCCATGCCTGATGTACAACCTCAGGTTTGTGTGCATTTGGCATGGCTAAGGTGCATCGATACTATAGAATTAATGCAGTTTGATATCACGTTAACTGCCATGGCTCAATGCTATGCAATTATAGGAATTGTCGTTTGGTGAGGCACTCACACTCTTTGGCAGAGAAGGCTAAAGACCTTGCAAAATTCCAAGTCCCATTCATCTGCCACCGGTTCTTCAAGATTTCTCAAAGATGATGGTAGCTGGTTCAGAGCTTAGCTCAGTGAGTTCTTTCTATTTTTCAGGATGCAATTTATCTGGACCTGCAACTGAACTGATATAAGGTCGACTAGGCCATCTCTTGTTTATTATTTCCTAAAGACTGTACTTGCACAACTTCAAATCATAGAGCTGGGAAAGACCACAAGGGCCACCCAGTCCAACCCAGCAGGGCACAGAATCAAAGCACTCCTGACAGATGGCCATCTAGCTTCTCATTAAAACCCTCCAGAGCTGTGGCTCTCAACCTGTGGGTCCCCAGATGTTTTGGCCTTCAACTCCCAGAAATCCTAACAGCAGGTAAACTGGCTGGGATTTCTGGGGGTTGTAGGCCAAAACACCTGGGGACCCACAGGTTGAGAACTACTGCTCCAGAGGATACTTCACTGCATTTCAGAGTAGAGTATTTCATTGTCAAACTACATTAACCACCTGGAAGTTTTTCCTAATGTTTAGGAATTTTAATCAATTCTTCTGTCTCCTGTTCTGTAGAGAAGAGTTTGTCAAACTGTGCTCCTCCAGATGTTTTGTACTTCAGTTCCCACAATTCCTAACAGCTGGTAAGCTGGCTGGGATGTCTGGGAGATGAAGTCCAAAACACCTGGAGAAGCACAGTTTGAGAAACTCTGCTGTAGAGCAGCAGAAGAGAAGCTTGCCCTTATCTCAGTGACATATTTTCTGATATTATACATAACTATCATGTCCCATAGGCCGCCCATAGGTTATACCGCTGAGCTGCTAAACTTGCTTACTGAAAGCTTGGCGGTGCGAATCCAGGGAGCAGGGTGAGCTCCTGCTGTCAGCCCCAGCTTCTGCCAACCTAGCAGTTTGAAAACATGCAAATGTGAGCTCAATAAGTACCACTTCTGTGGGAAGGTAAAGGCGCTCTGTGCAGTCATGCTGGCCACATGACCTTGGAGGTGTCTACGGACGACGACGGCTCTTTGGCTTAGAAATGGAGCTGAGCACCCCCCCCCCCCCCCCCACAGAATCAGACACAACTAGACTTAATGTCAAGGGAAACCTTTACCTTTACCTACAGTACTCAAATTGACCCAAATAAGTCAAACTACTTTTTTTGGTCAAATTTTAACTTACACTTTATAGGCTTATACAAGAATGTATAATATTTGAGTTGATTTGGGGGTTGTGGGGGCTTGTAGAAGAAATTTTTTCTCCCCAAATCCGATGGTAATTATGGTCCTTGATGACCATTCAGGATGCAGTATTCAAAAGCCTTTCTGTAGTCTAAGAATGTAGGTTGGATAAAATCAAATATGCAGAGTTATATCGTCTGTGGATTTTCGCCTCCTCTGTGTACTGCAGATTTCTTAACCTCAGTGGCATTGTATAGCATTAGTTACTGTCTGCGATAAAAGTGAAATAGAAAAAAAAATGAGAAGAGAATGTGAAATATCTCCAGCAGTCCCTTTAGGATGGTGGGTTTAGAAGGAAAGCACAGCATGCTACTTTTTCAAACAGATAAGTGAAATGAAACTCTTAATTGTAGCCACAATGACTCTGATGAGTTTAAGATTTCATTTATTAGGCAAACCATGAAGCAGTTATGTGACTGCTTTTAATGAAGAGAGCATCCCTAATTGACCCACATTTCTTCTTGAAATTACATTTCAAGCCTCGTCAAAGCAGAAGATGCTTCTTTTGTTTAAAATTTGAAGCACGCGTAACCTTCCTAATTGCGAAATGTTATGATCTGGAAATTGCATTGTAACACTCTCACCCCTGTCAAAAGAATCCTGTTGAGAAGAGGGGTTTTTTTTTAATCATTACCTAATTAGAGCCCTTCAGAAGCCCTAAAACAATTGGAATATGTATATAATAAAGAAGACATTTCCTCATGTCTGAAGATTTTCTCTAAAATGGGTAGAGGTTAAGCCACTGACCTACTTGAAGTTTTGTTTTATTTCCTCTTTCTGTGCATGTCTATCCAGAAGTACTGTAGGTCCTGTTCCGTCTCCTGATTTGCCTTACTTTATAGTTGCTTGAGGTTGCTTCCTCTTGCATTTTCTCCCAGGGCTGCTGCAGCTTTGCAAGAGTCTTAAAAGTTAATAGTATCAGAGTCTGCAGGCCTCTTTGCAACTATTGGCTTAGAGAGCAGCTCTTTGAGTTTAGGGACCGCCTTTTCTCCCAGGGAAAGATCCCCATTTTAGATTCTCCCCTGCCTTTTTAGTTTCAGGAAAGACTTCTGACGTGCTGATGGCTAGGCAGTTAGCTCTGGGAAAACCATTGCAAAAACTATACATTATAGATAAGTATTAAGCTATATTGAGTTAATATAGATAGTGTATTGTGTATTGAGCTGTATTGAGATATTATAGATAGATAAGCTTAATTGAGAAGATTGAGTTATATAGTTATAGAGAGAGAGTCTTTACTGCTTTGTCTCCAGAACTAACCTTAAGTTATAGATAGGGAAAAACCTGCTTTTTTCTAAACCACAACAGCTTAAGGTTAGGGTGTAAAGATTCCAGGATCTTATCTGCCATCTGGAGAAAAGGGTTACCTCTGTAACTAAAGAAAAGAAAGAATATTTTTGTAGTTTCATCTATTGACTGTTTGTTTGCAACTTTGATGA